TGGCTTTGATATTTTGTTTAATGCTTGTACCATGAAAATTGAATATTAAAAAGGTTTTTTTGAGTGTGGACTTTGGAAGGATTCGTGGATGAATGGTGCGTACACGGTACACTTATACACAAGAAGCATACAAGTATATACACGTTTTAAGTCCCTCCAAGGTAGCCGATCTGGTGGTGTAGTCCCTAGTTAGGGCATCCATCAGAGTTCGACCCTTGTAACAAAAATGGGGAATAACTCAACAATCCAAATAAGGGTTGGGACCTGAAGTGGGATCAGGTCCTTTTTTTTGGTAAAAAAAAAAAAGTTTTTACACGTTTTAGATTAGGATTTAACAATAAGAATCAATTTAACAATATTCACCTTACATTTCTATTTAAGATCTTCTAGAATTTTACTTGCGAATGTATAATACATCGTCTGATTCGAAGGCGACTTAGTCCACTCGGAGGTCTTCCCATGATTCCTTTGAGTCCATTCCTTCTCTTAGGGTAGACTAGATGTAGAAGCATATTAGAAGTTATTTTGTCTGGCAAAAAATAATTGGAGCTTTCAAATGCTGAGCAGTGACAGTGAGAGCTGGATACAGAGAGAATGACGCGTCTCAATCAGATTATGCGATTCTTGAGCTGCCGTTTTGCCAGCTAGCATATTTATCGATATATGAAAAAGCTTACATCGATCGCGTGGCCTAATGGATAAGGCGCTCGCCTCCGGAGCGGGAGATTGTGGGTTCGAGTCCCACCGTGATCGTTTTTCCTACTTTCGTGGTTTTCCCGGTGAAACGTTTTGGTGTATCCCAAATTCCCAATTGGGCGAATTCCCGTGCATTATACTGAACTTTTGGTCTATTTGTCCAGTGGCCTACATTCACATTTGGCACCCAAAGTTCACATAGCATGAAGCTTCATGTTTATTTTATCTATATTTACAGTTTTCCAAACTTATTTATTTTCCTGAGAAAATCCAATCCATGGATGCCCCACAGGCTAAGGAAACTGGATGTCTAATATTCGAGCAACTAATCCCTCAAAATTTCTTGATGACAAAGTTATGTAAGGATTCCTAGCTATCTATGTGTCCAAAAGAACTTTTGTTCTCAAAATATCCAAAAGTAATCAGAAAGCAACGCCCTCAAAATTTGCCTGCAAATTTTATTCTTCTCTTGGAGAGTCAGTTTTTACTCGCATGTGGGCTGGTGCTTCCTTTAGTCCGCTACATGTAGAAAGTGGAACAAAAATCAACAGCCCTGATGCACTTCCAGTTCCAGCTGCTATCTCAGCAATTTTTCCTACTCGTTTGTTGTTACTTCTTGAAGAACCGATCGAATCAGATGCTGCTAGCAAAGAAATGAAACCAATTGAACTCTGACTAATTGTCGGATTTTTGTAATTAGAAAAAGATTGAATGAGAATTAAAGGAGCTGAGCTTGATGATGAGAACCTTGAGTAACGTGGATGGCTGAAACCAATATAATGGACCATAAGTGCTTTGAAAAGGGATGCAGCAAGTTCCTCTTCCTGCCCAGTACAAATGTATGTACATCACCGTGTTTGTTACATTTGCCTGGAACGTCTTAACCACTGCTCTATTGGAAATCTTCAACATTAAAATTCACGGCATAACCTTTTCCAATGAACATAAATTTTATTATCTTAGTTTTTTCCAACGAAATTAATCAAGATGTTGTGTGTTGCTTGATATTTTTCATGAAAAGTTGGAGTACCTGGGCGTAAATGTCGAATAAGCGTCTCCCAAGACCTTTCCAGGATTGAGAATCTTCCATTTGCATCTCAGCAAAGTGGATCTCGACATTGTACTTTCCGTTTTTCAGTCCAAGGCCGTCATATCTTAATGAATTCGCTGACAGCCTTGCTGTTTTATATGGCTCAGAATCTAATGTACCTGTGATTTGAGAAACCCTTTGAGTTTGAGCTACAAATTTGGGTCCGTTCGGTTTGCAATGAAAGCTTCTGAGCTGCTGACTGCCCATTCAGTGCTGGGGCTTGTGTACAAGGAGGCAGCTCCTAATGCTTCTGAATCATCATCAAATTTTATTCCTGCTGCAGAAACTTGTTCTGTGCCTCCACAGTTGATGGAGGATGAAGCTTCAACAACATAATTAAGTTTACGCAACAAATCTATAATTCAAACAATAATATATGGAGAAGTTTCTTTGGTTAGCAATGTTGTTAAAGTCCTTTAGGCGTGGCCTATAATCTCGTGTTATTGCGGTTACCATGTATAATTCAATGACCAAGAAATGTTTAGAGCCTAGATATCATGTCAGCGCACCTCGCATTGCCTTGAAGGCAATTCAGCTTTGCAGTCATTTTCCTGCATCGATCGGAAGAACCAATTTTGGATTATTATCACCTAAACTAGTCGAAAAAAGATTGAGGAAGCTAGAGCATGTTATATTTTACTCACTGTGAGGATAAGACTCAATTGAGTTGCATCTCAGTTTATTATCAATGCTCATTTTAGTTCTGACAAGCAAAACTTGATTAAACAACCGAGTTCTTTGCTAATTAAAAGTTTAAAAGGCTAACCTGTTATGGGAACTGTTGTCATTGATTGAAGTGCCTACAACATACATTCCTGACGCAGAGTAGCAAACTTAGCAGAACTGACTTAGGACACTTTTGTGTGCATGTATAATTGGAACTATCATCAAGTGGAATAGTCACAAAGCAGTGAAGAAGTTGACTTATAATCATCAATGGAGGTGTTAATGAAAATTCGTGCACGTTTGATACTAAAATATAAGCGAGTAGAAAAGTTACTACTGCATTTGAGGAAACTAAACTACTAGACTTCCTTACAAGTCTTCCAGTTTCGTAAGTGCACCAAAGCTGCTTGGAATTTGACATTCAAGACTAGTTCCTTCCTTCAAGCTAGCCTCCTGTTATTGGAAACTGATCAGCTAGAGATTCACTAAAACATGAGACCCAATTTTAGGAAGGAAAAAGGGGAAAGTTCAATGTGAACCAAAGGAACTAAAATGGAAAGGGAAAACACATGCCACAGCATACAGGACTGTGATGGTTAGCAATATCGGCCGATTCCGATACGAATTGGCAGAGTCATAATTGGAACGGAAGGAACCAGTACGATACCGATCTCGAATCACGGATGTTACCATATCTGCGGCGACTCGCTCTGACTCAGTCGATATTGGCCAATTCGAATCCGTGATATATTGTATTGGGCATATATCCAAATCAACTCGGAATTGACTCGAATATTTTTTCATATTGTACTTTTTTGGTATTTTCTAAATTTAGTAATTTTTTAAGATTTTTTTAAAAATTTTAATATGTTATAATGTGTGTATCACTCTATATTCAACCGATATATCATGAAGGATGTGGAATAACTGAGACCACGATGCGACCACGACCTGCGAGGCAAACCATGGTGAGAGCTGCAAGACTTTCCAGGAAATCAGGGGGCTTTCCTGTAAATCTGTTTTCTGATGCCCACCAACAAGTTGCAAAAGACATGGTTGACTTTGACTTTTGACTTTTTCCCTCCATTATTCAGGACTTAGCTTGATGCAAAAGTTCAGTCATATAATGTACGAAGGGAATTCAGCATTGAGAGTTCTTGTGGAGTGGGTCCACTTACTCCACTCCTATCAATGTACCTAGTTGATCAAGGAAGCAAATACATGAGCATTTAATGTTTGTATTTATATTTTGGAAAAATCGGTCGAAACGATCCTCACATTTTATAAGATTACTTTTTTCGTCTATCATTTTTAAAAGTGTAATTTTATATCCCTTATAAATTCACATTGATCAAATTTGGTCCCTACCTAGGTTTCCGACTAGTTTTTTGATCGGAATCCGCCACATGACTTGCATATTATTTTTTAAGGGCAAAATTATCAAATTAAATTTTTACATAATCTGATTCATAGTCCTCACATTTTTCAAAATGAATTTTTTTATCTCTCATTGATCATGTGTACGAATAGCTTTTTTTTATAAATTCACGTATATGTCTATTTGTCTTTACCTGAACAGTATGAATAACATGTAATTTATCTCTATTGAATCTCATCTAAACATGCTAATTGTAGTTATACACATGCTATTCAATAGATATATATAGGAGTTTAAAACTAATAATTTTGTTTGAAACCCATGTATATATTTATATGATTTCACCATTTGAACCTATTCAATATTTGTGACCTTTCTCTTTTTGTAATAATTTATTTATTGAATTATATAATAAGGTCATCTAATTAATGGATCCTAACTCGAATTCTATAATTGTGCTAACAAATTTCAGTTTAAATCTGAAATTTCTACTTGACACTTTTAAGACCATCAGTTGAATTACTTGCCTTGTGATTGTTTTAAATTTTGAAAGTGCCAATTATTTCTTTTGTCGTACTTTTCTTTTTGTTTACTTTTTCTATCCAAATTTAATTCGATATAAACACTCGATAATATTTAGGATTAAATGTCTTCTTTATTTTCAAATTTCGAGTAAAAGAAAATAAATATAAGTGAAAAACTAACAATTTTTTTAAACCCATGTATATATCTATTTGATTTCACTTGAGCATTATGAATAGTATGTAATATATCTCTATTTGATTTCACATGCTATTCGTACTGTTCAAGTGAAATCAAATAGATGTATATATGGATTTAAAAAAAATTATTCACACACATGATCAATAAAAGATGAAAAAACTCATTTTGAAAATGTGAAGGATGAAAAAATTCATTTTGTAAAATGTAAGGGACGAAAAAATTTATTTTATGAAATGTGAAGGATCATGAATCGAATTATATAAAATTTAATTTGACAATTTTGCCCTTAAAATATGATCACGTGTAAGGCACGTGGTGAATTCCGACAAAAAACTAGTCAAAAACCTAAGTAGGGACCAAATTTGACCAACGTAAATTTGTAAGAGATGTAAAATTACATTTTTAAAAGTAAGGAACGAAAAAAGTTATTTTGCAAAATGAAAGAGATGTTTTGAACGATTTTCCCTTATATTTTATTACAATTCTTGTAGAACACTTGCAGCTGCCCTAAGGAAGTTAATCTTCCCAGCTCTGTTGGTAACAGTCCATGGAAATTGTTTGAACTAAAACTTCTGAAATAACAGAAAAGGAATGGTCTAAATACTTCTAAGGCTCAGTCGTATTAAGTATGATGAAAAGAGGAATCGCAATAAAAGAAAATGCTTGCATGGATGCCAACTACCAGACCAGTGAAGTTCTTATGCAAATCAAGATTTCAAACTAATCTGCTTTGAATATGAAAGTTCTCATCAGTTTGAGCGACAGTAACAAGCATTGCATCTTCGACAATTGACCAATTTCAGCTGGGATGGAACCACTGAGTACATTCAGTCCCAAATTCCTACAATATGTTGCACTCGATTGAACATGCAGTGTCATTTCTAAGTCACACGGCTATGCAGGAGGAAGTGAAGTAAATTTTCCAAATAGGCTAAAGATCACTTACAAGTCCATGAGCTCTTTTAGCTGAAAAAGTTGCTGTGGAAGTTCACCAGAAATATCCAGAGCATAAATTTTCCTAAATGATATGAGGATCAGACGTCTCCGTTAAAGAATAAAACAAAAAAAAAATTGTGGATGATGAACTGACAATTGAGTTATATGGCAGACAGTGGCAGAACATTCACAAGCAATCCTGGGATTTGCTGCGTCTGGTGCCCAAGTAGCATTCTTGGTGCAGGGATCAATCCTAGTCATATTCAACTTGGTTTGCAAGTTCCAATGATCAAGAATCTTGTTCACAGCAACCGCTATCCAATAGTACGAGGCATACAATAAAGTTTTTGAAGTGCTCAATGAGAACTTTAGACTAACTAGCCAGCTATATAAAGGGAACAACTTTTTTTTTAAAAAAAAAAAAAGAAAGAAATGATGATGAACTGGGAAAAACCCTTCATTTGGGTCAGTGGTTGGCTGGGCAGAGATCAGCTTTAGCATAAAAAGAGAGAGAGAAAAAAAAAAAGAAAAAAGAACAAGCTTCTTAAGAATTCCATGGTTGGATGAAAAAAAAAAGAAGTCGTGGCGCCAAAGTATTCATGAGCATGAACTCTCGTGGATGGTAGTAGTGATTGAGAAACTCTAGCAGTAATCAGAGTGAAGCCAAGCCATGCAATTGAAGAACCAAAATGGTTTGTATTGCAAAATGGCAAAAGTGACTAGTCTAGAGATGGACATAAGCAGATTGTAAGTGGCGCAGAAGTAAAGAAAATACTGAACAGACGTTGATGATGAAATGGAAATGTTGTTGCTGGATATGACTTTTGAACTTCCATTTCTTGCTCTTGATTGTGAAAGTTTGATTTTGTACTATTCCCAGGGACAACAAAAGCCACGGTGAAAGCTGAATGACATCCCATCATATATGCCTGCCAATGTGTTTGCTTTCTTTGAGTAAACAAGAACGACAGCATGCGTAGACTCAAAATTCCTGGAGTTGTGCCTGTGAGATCAATCAGTCAGAATTATCCCTTTCACACTTCAACCCCCTTCTAGAAGAATAGCAATTAATCTCTCAATTCAAGCAAGATGAATAGAATTCTTGTTTTTATACGAGACCACTTGCTATTTTTGTGCTGTTTTCCATGAGCCGTCAGTGTACGGACTTTGAGTCCAAAAGCATTTTTGATGCCAAAAGCTTACTGTCAAGAACCAGTAAATGGACCGGATTTAGCACTTTGAGTCCAAAATATTTCAAGATTCCGAAAGCCTAACAAAATGAAGCAGTTAACAAGTGCTTCAATGACAAAACGATACTTTAGTTTTACATAATTGAAGCTCTTAAGTGTACAAGTAAACGAGACAGGGCCTTAGTTGTTGCATAATTTTCTGCTAATTAATAGATAATTAAAAATGTGTTCATTAAGAACGTAAGAATTTTTTTTTTGTAAAAAACAGCAATCCAAACAAGGGTTTTTTAAAATGACTTTTTTTTTTGGGTCAATACAGGGATGTCCGGGTCAATTCTTACAGGGTCCGACTAATCCCCTGCGACCCGGGAGAGGAGGTCCCACTCCACATCGAGCACGTTACTTCGTACCAACATAAAACTTCTCATGGATCAGGATTGTACTGGGTCAGATATTGTTTTTGGGGATTTAATGAAGATACTTGATATTTTTTACATGGATGTAAAGATTCAAAGATGTCATGCCTGCACCTGCATATGGTAATTGGGACTAGGGAATTCATGTCAAGATCAAGAGTAGGAGATAAAGACGTTGGTCAAAATGATCAAGCTGATTTAACTCCATCCAATTCATCAATTCATGAAGTCTCTCAACCATTTTCTGGAAATAATTTCACGCGTGCTCGGCAACTAGTACATCAGACAAGTCTTTCAATTTCCGCGTTGAAAGCCAGGCGGTCGCAGTACTAGTGCTATTCATTTATTTGCTCAATCGGGCCCATGCAATACAACTGTAGGAGCATTACAATACTAGTCTGTATAAGTAATCCACCCCCCCCCTCCTCCCCCACAACAAAAACACCCACAAAACATTTTCAAGGCATCAATTATTCTTCATTTGCCAAAGACAATAATAATATTGAGCGTGTAGGAGTGGAATTTTTATTCTGTTTGACCTAATCGTGTAAAATGGCTGGCGTCCAAGCAGCCCAAGCGAAAAAACTGACTGAAGTTGGACCGGTCAACCTAAGTGATCAGGCAATGATTTAATGCTAACAAGGAAATTCTCCAAGAACTCTCAATCCCCTGGAGTAGGGCAAAAATAGTAGTAGCTTCTTTTTTCCCTTTTCCTTTTTAATGGGCTCTGCAATGTTGATTTTCATGCATTATAGCATTCAGATTCGTATCCTATGGATTGAGAATTTTTGTGAAAAACTATTTTTATTTGTGGGATCTACAGAAAAGAATTTCAAATGCAGCTCTAAAAACACACGTCTCAAATACAATTAAATACACTTAAAAATTAAATAAATAAATAATTGATACACTCTTCGTTCTTTCGACACTGCCACTCACCACACCCCACCATCGCCGCTACCTCCTCCCTCCTCTCTCCTCTTTTTTTGTCTCCTTCTTCTCCTTCCTCTCACTTCCTCTCCGTCCCTCACCCCTTTTTCTCTATTCCTTTTCTTCCCTCCCTATTGGGAGCCCCTTCCTCTACCTTCCCCTTTTTGGTCGTGACTAGAGCTCCCTTTGGACTAGATTTGAGAGCTCTGGCTGCGACTAGAAAAGGAGGAAGGGAGGAGGGGAGGGCTCCAGTGGAAAGGAAGAGAAGTGAATGGGAGGAAGGAGAAGGAGAAGGAGAAGGTAGAGTATAGGGAGAGGGAGGAGAAAGGAGGGATGGGGTGGTGGCAATGATGGATGGCAGTGATAAGCTGTGATATTTTTAATTTTAAAAAAATCTCAAAAGAATTTTTCATTCTAAAAGTATTTTAAAATATCTACTCAAGAACACCTCAAAAAACAGTGAACCATTTACAATAAAAATTTTTTATGTACATTACTACAGTAAAAAATTTGAAAAACACTTTAAAAACACCTAATCGGCCTAAACATAGGTGAAAAATTAAATCAAATTACCAAAGCCCACCTATCAATTTCACTCGGAAGATTGTGAAATTGATCATCTCACTAGGAGCAATTTTTTCCCCCCACCTTTTAATCTCATGATTATAAAAGCATTACCCAATATCTCTAGTTCCTTTGACCTTTAGCTTATCATTTTTACTACCATACAAAGCTCTCATCGACGAAATATATTATACTCATAGACTTCTCAGGAAAAAAATGCACAATTTATCTAGCATCACCTACATTAACATTTTTTTTCCTAAAAATGCAAATTAGCTCATGATTTCGAACATAAAAACCGACTTCTTTCCATTTTGAATGGTAATTTATTAGGATTAATTTTATATACACTGATACTGACGGTATATACACTGTCAGCATTGCATGAATAACAGTTATATGAAATTTGAATTTGAACTCCAACTTTTATTCATGTGTCATTAATCGTGTAAACACTGGCAATATATATAAAATTTACTCAGATAATTAACCTTAAAATTCAAAACATTCATGACTCATTTATTTTACTCTATGAGGAAAGTTGCCACCAAAAAATAACTTTTGGTGAAATTTATTTTCTTATCACTAGACTTCAATTTCGGACAAGCCTGCTTAATTAAAGAGATTTCTCACACATTCACACACATCTAGCTAGTCCACCTCTTACAAAACAAACAAGAGAAACGTTGTGCGACAAGGCTATATATATATATAGCTAGTACATAGTAGTAAAACTTCTTATAATTCTGAAAAATAAAAATAAAAAACCCAAAAAAATTACAGAATAGATAGCAAGTTCTCCGACCACATTCAAATCTTTTGCACTGCTGCTTTAATTATCGCCTTTTCCTAGCTTGTGACTGACAATATTCCAATCGTTCCCCTCCTACTCCATCAACTCCTTCGTTTCAGTAATTCAATGCGTTGCACAGACTCCACGAATATTCTGCAACACAATTGGATCCCAACCCATCACACAATTATCTTTAATCAACACTGTAAAGACTCCAACTTTAATCAGTAAAAGTTAGTTAAACTTTCATTAGTACTTCTGCCCCCCATCTCAACCAATTCATTAGAAAATTGACTGATCAGGGCTCACCGGTTGATATAATTCTTGTAACTGTTAGTGTAAATTCGTACAATTTGGATGTAAATTTAAATTTGTTAACTCGTGCGACGACATTGGCGATTATATTAATACCATACAAGTTTACATCAAATGTAGTCGTAATTACATGAACCGCTTTGAACTAGACATAATTCGAGCCATGTTGCCCAACCCTCTTCACTGTCAAAGAGATTGAGATTGATGCATAACTGGATGTGATCTTTCAGTTTTTCAGGATTAATTCTTGATTGCAGCATGACTAATGAACGGTCAGTTTTAGACTACTGTTCAATGTGACATGCTTCTGCCTTCAATTTCCCACCAAGCAAATATACTTGTTTCGGGTAAGAGCCAAAAAGTTCCTCAATTAAGAAGAAAGGGAGGGAAAAAAGAAAGAAAGCCATTTGTATGATCTTAACTACATAAGACAGAAAAAATAAAGCGGCTAAGAGTATACAGTACATACTGCCATGGGACGTCTCCTGCTAGGAGCCAGTCTCCTTCTTTGTCCAGGTACGAGAGAATATAAGGTCCATCATCTTCATCACCATTTCTGTCTGTGCATCAAGCAAAACTCATCTCATTAATCCATAGCTAGATAGATAGATAGATAGATATCTGCAAATTTCCAAGGCAAAATAGCCACACACAAAAAAAAAAGACAAGTCGTGGGAATGAATTTAATGCTTTTGAGACTTACACTTGGCAAACATGTTGAGCACGGCATTGGTGAGGGCTTGATAAGAGTCAAAGAGAGTTAAATCAATCTTTCTTCCTATGATGACCCCCTCCATCTTCACCTTCACAAATACCGAGTTTCTAACACCAGCCCTCTCCAGTGCTCTTTCCTGGCGGCCACCACGGAGAAATTTCTTCCTCCACGATTTTATAGGTGGCCAACCCACTATTTGATCATGGTCGTCCTCATCATTCTTGCTGTGAAAAATTTAGTCAAACACTAGGAGTCGATTTGTGTTTGTTCTAAAATTTTCGTAATTGTTAAACATGCTTTATTTGTCAACATTCAAGCAAAATTGAGGTTAACTAGCCACAATACCCAAGACCTTATTCAAATACAAATAGAAGCAACAGCTAAACATGCATCCCATGTCACTGGAATGCACATAGGCATTTTCTTAAAGCTACATTTATGTTCATCCAGTTTACGAAAGTCTATACTCGTATATGTTAAAGTTCTACACATTTTTATGTATCAATTCTCTTCAGAGAAAGAAAAAATACTTTGAAATTTTCCTTTACTACTTAATTTCAACCCAAAAAAATCAGAAAATATGTGATTGAATTTCTCAAGCAAAATTAGCTAAAAGGAACTTTTACTTGGCCTGACGTATATTATATATAAAAAATTCCCACTTACATGTCCAAAGGGCTAAAGGGCTCTCTCTCTGCTCTTCCCCATCTTCATCATCGTTTGGCTGCCGGCCGTTCCATACCAGCAAAGAAAGCGTCTTGTCTTCACGAAATGCCTCAGAAAAACTGCGCTTTTGTGTGATCATCAGGTTCTTGAATTCGATCAGATCTTTAGGTTGTTGTTGTTGTTGTTGTTCTTGGAGCTGCAGTGCATTCTTATTGATGTTTAGGTCGAAACTTTTATTGGGGAAATGGACCGATGAAACTGAAAGAGCAAGTCCTAGTTCTAGTTCCATAATGCTATAGTATTAGGACTACTACTGTACATAAACGAACAAATCAACACACCTATTAAAATATACACAAAGCTCAAATATATGGGGCTTTTGTCTAAAGTGATCAGTTA